CCAACAATTCAAGCAAAGAACACTAGGTTAAGATGTCATACAAGCCACTCTTTGTGACCCTGAAGTCCATCGATGTTTAGAGTCTTGACAGCAAAAACATAATCTGCATTTTATGCCAACAATTCAGAGAGAGCAAATTAAGTTCAGGTGTCATACAAGCCACTCTTTGTGACCCTGAAGTCCATCAATGTTTAGAGTTTTGACAGCAACTGTAAGCCCAGTCCCAGGTTTTACAGGTGCAGTTCCATTCTCTTCAATCCAACCTTTGAAAACACAGCCAAACCCACCCTCACCAAGAAGACTCTCCGGTCTGAAATTCCTAGTGGCTAACTTAAGGTCATTAAATGTGAACTTTCTAAGCTGGGATGCAACTTTGAGTTCCTCACTGAATTTTGGAGTGGATGAAGTGCTTTCCGCATTAGAAGTGGTTGTCGAGGACACAGGTACAACTGGTTGGTCTACGTTTTTACCATTTGTTGATTTATTTTCTGCTGAATGGATACAAAATCAAGCACTAAAATTTAATGAAAAATACAAGGAAAACAAAAAAGAGCAGTCAACACTCAACAGATACTATCAGAAAACTTATGCCTAGCTCTTCAAATTGCCTATAATCCCTTCATATCATCATCTCCCGTCTACCAACCAACCACTCATATGTGACAAAACAGGAAATCATTAAATGAAGAATTTTTAGTAAAGATTTTTTCCCCCCTCAGAGGTGGAAATCTAAAGAAATTAAGTAACTCAATGGTTTTTATATACCACATCCATTTAGCTTAACCTAACGAATGAGATTTTGGGAGACAACAGTCCAAATTCAGAATAATTCATGGTCTTATTCTCATTTATATCAAAAGAAATATTTGTTTTTTCAGAAATATCCACATCAATTACTCACATACTTCACTTTAAAACTTAAAAACGACCCCGAAAAATTAAATAAATGAAGTAAAAACAGTCCCCTTCACATCTTAACCTTGTTTTTTTATGAAAGAGAGATAAATTATCTTTCTAAAACAGAAGGGGGGGAAGGAAAGAGAAGATTACCATAAGCGATAGCTGTTACACCACTAAGAGAGCTGTCAACTTTTGATCTCGAAGGCATGCATCCGCCCATGAACATCAATCTAACCCAACATCCAGTTTCTTCCTCTCCTGCATCCTTCTTCTTCCTCGATTTATTTTTATCCACTACCCATTTCTCCACCACCTTTACACATTCAGGACCAAAACCCATATCCCAAATCTAATACCTAAGCATCAAATCCATAACGAGAACAGGATAAACAAATAATCAAATACACCCAATTGAAACCTCAAGAAAAGCTCAAAAATTTATTCAGAACACACAAAACCCATCTCAAAACAGCTCACGAAAGCCAATTTCCCCCAATCAAAACCTAAAAAAGGGTAAAACTTTGATAATAAAAAATGTTTAACTGGAAATCACTGAAACCCTGTTCCTGGAATTTAGTCAAAAGTGGCTATGTGGGAGAGAGGAAAGAGAAAGATGGCTGCTTGAGAAAGAGGGAAAGTGTCCAACACTGGGCAGTTCGGGCAATTTAGAGCAGAGAATACGGGCAGTTCGGGCACACTAAAGAAAAGGACAGATTTATGTGTTAATAATTAATTTACTAAAGACAGTAACGGTGCTCATATTCCAACTTCCAAACAACAAAAAATCATGTTATAAAATGAACATGATGGCGTTGTCTCAACTGAGGAAGGCCATTGAGTGACTGGTAGAGGATTTGTTTGGATTAATTCTTTAAATGTAATTGACATTAATAATAAAAATTTAATGATTAATAATAATTATTATTTATAATTTTTAATTTTTAATTTATTCAATTAAAATTAATTAGTGATAACTGTTTGTAAACCTCCTAATCAAATACCTCCTAAATTGTTTGCATAAGACTACTCTTTCATTCGTATAACCAAGAGAAATGCTATAGATAAGGATGTGAACTTTGTATATATTTTTTTTAAAATGTTAATTTTATTAGTTTTTAAATAAAAATATTAATTTTTATTTTTTTATTTAAGAATATCAATTTTTAATATTTCAGTTAAAAATTTTATTTATCATGTTAATATTA